ACAACATGAATTTTAAGTACTTAATGTATGTAATTATTGTCACTGTCACATACAATGTGTGAAACGTATCACAAAGGAACTATTTAAATGCATACATGCAGTGTTTATAAACACATTATTTCTCTTTTATAAATGGTTCAGTTTATGTGATTTATAGAAAGTCAAGATAATAAATTTCTTGTACACTAAGTAGGACCACTTCCAACCCACTGATAAAATAAGTACTTGCTTATGAGAACACTCAAATTACATGTTTGAGTATTTTAACAACCAGATACAGATTGTTCAATTTTTCAAACTACTATTTATCCTCCACTTACTAACCCCTACATACAGATATACACAATGACACACACACCTATTACCATCCTTCTTGCAGTTGAAACTATTTTGCTGCCTCCAAAAAAAGGTGGAGAAAGAGAGGACAGGGTAGCCTGCAACTTCTTGTGCTATTAGAAATATGAGAACTATTGAAAATACAACAGGCAAAGTGTTCAACATATAATGCAAAAGTGATAAAAAGTTTGGGGTTTCTTTGTGCTTGGAAGAGAGCAAGAAGGAAGGAAAGAAAAGCACAGAGACATTCTTAAGGATAAGGAGACCCTTAACACCCACCCAGGGAGGCACTTGGGCCCTAAGAGAATCTCATTCAACCCCTGTCTACTGCCTGGATTTAGACTTGGTCAGAATACACTAGAAGAGTTCTATTATTCTCTAAGTATTCTTTTCTCCATCCTCTTGATCACAAGGACTTTAGCGTTCCATATTTTTGATACCTGCCATTTTACTTACTTCAAGTGAGTAAAAGTAGGTGTGTGCACAGAATTTAAAGTATTTCTGCAATGCTAGACTCACTTTCTGACATTCCAATATCAAACAACCAAGAGTCATTATGATAAATTTTAGAGGCTCAGCACCTGCTTCCAAATTAGCAAAAGGTTTCTTCCAAGTGTCTTTGGGAGAAACTAAATAACCCATCCTAACTTTCAAACGTGGATAACACATGCTGGGGTCACAGCATCTGAGGGTTGAAGAGAATCAGTGTGATACATGGGAAGTGAATCTTAACAGATGGATTCACATCTTAATTACAACACTCTACTTACATAAGCTGGGAAGAAATGTTTACTTTTCTGAGGTTCAGTTTCTGCATTTGTAAACACTGACTACTACCCCCCACCTAGTCTTGCCAGTTACTTCTATGATGAAATAAAATAGTATGCATAAAATATTCAGTAAATTTCTAAATTAAAGAAATCAGGATTAATTCTAAATATAATGTTTAAATTGTCAAAAAATGATTTTCTTATTTTTCTCCCTGTGGAGAGAAAAGAGTTAACACACCTGGTTTGAAATAAATTCACTGTGATTACTGTAGAAGTCCTGCAAGAGAAAAAAGAAAGTGGTTGACTGATCTAATCTCTTTGTCAAGAGGGTAACTGGACCTTGGAGTAAATACAGGAATAATATCTGCTACGAGCTGGGATCTTATCTATCAAATGTTTTTAACAGAATGTCCGTGGTTAGGAAATACTTATAGAAAATAAGCCCAATGTCAATGCATTCAGAAGAAATGACTCCCTGGAATAAAGCACCAGCTAGGGTCTTAAATCTTTCTTTCTCTCAAAACCCACCATCCTGCCCCATCTCCTGTCCTTGAATCTTTGGAAATATGCACGTCATGGCAGAGCTAACACCAGAAACCTGAAAGGGATATTAATTAAGTGGATTTTAGTCTACTTTTGACACGAGATTACTACATATTATTATATGTCCATCCAGACCAGTTCACTAATTTTTTTAAATATTTTTGTTGATATTTTAAATTTAGTATTTATGAAGCACCTGCACCCATGTTTATTGCAGCACTATTCACAATAGCCAAGCTATGGAAACAACCAAAATGCCCACCGCTAACGAATGGATTAAGAAAATGTGGTATTTATACACAATGGAATTTTATTCAGCCACAAAGAAGAATGAAATTTTGTCATTCGCAAGTAAATGGATGAAACTGGAGAATATCATCTTAAGCAAAGTTAGCCAGGCACAGAGGCCAAAAAGTCATGTGTTCTCCCTCATATGTGGATTATAGACCTAAAACAAATGCAGTAATATTATTGGACATGGGTCACACATTAAGAGGAGACTGCACACGGAGAAATAGGGAAAGGGAAGGAACCTAAAACTTGAATGTGGCCGATGTGTCCACTGTAGGCAAGCAAATATAGTAATCTTAAACTGGCAGAGGCCTATGGGAAGGTGACCAGGAAGTAGTGAAGAGATCCGGTAGAAAGGAAATAATGTGGGTTGCAATACACAAGTGCATGGAAGCAATGCTAGGAATCTCTCTGTAGAGCTATCTTTATCTCTAACTAGATAGATACTAACTTTCTATTATCGCCTATGCTTTCTCTTCAACAAAAGTGGAGAACAAGAGGGAAAAAACAGGTTCTTCCTGGAAGCAAGGGGGTGGGAGTGGGGTAGAGGGGTGGAGGATAAGGGAGAGGTGACCCAAACAATATATACACATATGAATAAACATAAAAACAATAAAAAAGAAATTGGCAAAGGACTGAGTAGACAGTTCGAGAGGAAGAGAGAGATAGTAGTGATATCAAATGATGCTTGACATTATTCATCAGGGAGCTATAAATCACATCCACAATAAGCTATCACTTCATCCAATGGGTATAACAAAAAGATGGATAATAACAGTTTCAGCAAAGATGTAGAGAAGTTAGAACCTTCATATGTCACCAGTCAGAATGTGCAATGGCGCCTTCACTTTGGCAAACACCTGGTGGTTCCTCAAGTGGTTTACTATAGAGTTATGTGATCCAGCAATGTCACCAGGTAGGTATACACCCATGAGAAACAAAAGCACGTGTCCATGCAGAACCTTGCACGTCAATGATCATCACAGCGTCACTCATAATAGCAAATATTGGAAACTACCCAAATGTCGGTGAACTGATGAGTAGATATGCAAAATGTTGTGTACCCATGTAATGGAATTTTATTCAAACATAGAAAAAATAAAGTACCAACATGTGCAAAAAAACTCAAAAATCTCTATATAGCAGTCTCCAATAATATCAGTTTTTGTTTTTAGAAAATCTTCTACAGCTATGACCAAATGATCTAATCTATGAAAAGGAAGATTTTGAAAATGTTACATGGCTAGAGACCTCCTTGGATTTCCATTCCATTCATGAATTTTCACTGCTTCCCAAGATACCTGAGTCCTAAAACTGGTGAAACAATGAAAAATTCTTTTAACTTTGACTTATCTATATTTCCAATTGAAATAAGAAGACAAAAAAACTCCCCATTTTCTAATTTCACAGGGATGTGTTAAAGTGTCCCGATGACAGATTACTGTAATTATTTTTAACGTGTCAACGAGCACACTTCTGTGCACACTCCAATAGAAGACTTAATGTAAGCTCCAGAATGAATCATTGAAATTACTCGAAGCAGTAGGCTGCTTTACACAAAGCTTTCAATATATTATTTAATCCTTCAAATAGACGAAAGTAGATATTATCATCTTAACTTTTTTTTCAGATGAGTAAACTAAGGCTCAGGGAGGCTACTGGCAAACTCCAGACTCCAAACTAAAGAACACAAACCAGAAAAATCAAATAATAGTATGAACCGAATATCAGAAGAGTTAACTTAGGGTTTTTGGATAGTCTATCCATCCAAAACTGTGAAGATCTAAGATTTTACTTTGCTTACAAACTAATGAATTGGCCTACTATAGTTTATGGATGCTGGTAGAATATAAGACTCCTGGGCAAAGACAAAGGACAGTTTGTAATAGCAGTAGCAATAGCAGAAGCAGAATGTCAGCATGTGCACGAGTACCCCAAGCTCTGATTCCCACTGACTGACACAAAGAGTTTCAGGTGATACCGGCACACCTAATGGATTGTATTGCAAGAGAGCCCTAAAGTTACTGAAACCATCCTTTCTACAGGGGTCAATCAAAATGCCTATCCTTTCCTCTGGAGGAAGACACTGTCTTTATTACACTGGCCTGTGAACATACCTGCCCTCCACTTCAGAGCAAGACAATGTCTCCATCTTCCAAATCTGTTCATTACACGAATTACTAAGCAGACAACCAGAGCAACGTCAGCAAGCAAGGCCTGATTCTCAAGATATTCAGAAATGCAAACAATCCATGGAGAATTATCTCTTCATGATAATATCACCTGTTTCATAATATTCTTTTATTTTCTGGCAGTAGTTCAAATAACAATAAGCAAATAACACTGGGAGAAGAAACACTGGGAATAGTGCATGGACGGTGCACTATGCAGCAGCCCCATTGGTCTACATATGTAACTGATAAACAAACAGACTTTTTCTGCTTTGGAATTTATGAAGTGTTGAAAATGTGATTAATTTTCTGATAGGATGAAGAACACTCTGGAAACTGCAAGGTACAATGATACAAGCTAAATTAAGATAACAGGTTTTAGATGTCATAAGACTAGCATTTTTATTCATGCCCTTTATTCACATTTTTTTAAAACCAGAACATTTTTTTAAAACCCGAAACTTTTCTTTAAAAGTTTTAAATGATTGATTTCTCCTGCTCAAAACAATTGTGATTTCTCCTGACTAGTTTGGCAGTTTCTAATGTGCGGTATAGGTTGTCTTAACTTGCTACATTACTTCCTATCAGAGGAAACACTCACTGAGTTTAAATGAAACAACCCTGAATTAGCCATAATTAATCTCCATACTTGATATGTTCCTTTTACTTTCTGTGAGCAAGTAACAAAAAGGGACTCTAATTGGCTAAAATTCTAAATGTGATGCTGACATGAAATATCCATTAGCAGATAGGAGACCTATGTATGATTCTGTGAAAAGCTGCCAGCATTCCCTTAATTCTTAGTGTCAAATGACAAGATTAGTAGTTACTCCTATCAGCTGATGACATATTAATGGCTATGATTTAAAAAAAATATTCTTCCAGTTGGATTATTTTAAAGAAATAATTCCAGAAACTATATGATTTTAAAGTTCTGCCCCTTTTCTTAGATATTCTGTATCATGGGCAAAATCTGAGACAAATAGTCTTATCTAAAGTGGCAGAGTTTTAAACATGGTGACTAGGAAAGCTTGACCTTCTACATTTTAGCTTCATATTTCTCCATGTGCCATGATGCTCAGAATTTCATTAGGTGTTTAATTCACTGAATTACGATATTTGGTATCTAAAGGTCTCATTTAAAGGCACCTTCTCTCAGGATAGTCACCAGATGGACCATAAAAGGAGGAGGCCCATACATTTTGTAAAGCCATAAATTTTGAGTGAAAAGCAGGAGACAAGTATATGGCAGATGCTTTTGTCATTGTTTGGCCACCTATCTACATTATCCATGTAGATAAATGTTCAGGAATGTACAATCAAGACTTCAGTAACTTGACACCATGGGGAATGAATGAACAGACTAGATTCCTTTAGCAAAATGAATAAGCATTCCCTCTCATCACCCCATACAATGAGTAGGGATGACTAGACATATCCACGGAAGAGAAAAGCCAGATAACACAACCAGGGTCAACAGATTATAATATGAATTCTCAGCTGGACAGTACTCAGCTGAAGCAACTAGGAAACTCAACAGGCAGAGAAGCAATTTCATGCAACCAGAGGAGACTATGCAGTGGGGTTTCCAACTGTGTGAAAGCCATGAGGCACAAATCACAGAACCACATGAAGCTTCAGGACCAGAGTGTGCATAAGCAAGTACACTCTGAGGACCAAAGGAGACTGGAAATTCTCGTCTACAGTTTATGTAGTCTATACATTAGCTGTTATCTGAAAGTTCTATGTGTGCATTAGAGATGTAACAACATGTATGTTGGATTATTTTGGAATAACAGCAAATATTTTTAGTCAGACCCTGTTCTAAGCATTTTAAATATACTTCCTCACACCTTCCTAGTTAGAGGGAGAAAGTGACTACTATTATAAACTGTCTCCACTTTCAGGATAAAGAAATTAAGACTCAAGAATATTTAGTGAATTTATCAAAGTCATATAACTAGTAAGTACCATGTCTTGGAATTCAGACCCAACCCATCTGATTGCAAAGCTCGTGACTTAATCTCTGAGGCTATGCTTTGCATTGAGATGTTTAGAAATCAGAACACATGACGCCCACATTAGTAGTCCATGACTGATTACTTGAGACATTTATTAGCATGGTCAGTGTGGAAATTAATGCTCAAGGATACCTACTTATATAAATACCTCTGTGCAGATTCATCTCATTCATGGCTTTCCAAATATGAAGAGGAAGTTAGTTTCTCTTTAAGGCAACAGATGAATTCCCTTGTGCCCACAAATTCAGACAAATTTTTTTCCAGCATGTAAATATCAAGTATTTTTCTTTACCAACTTTTTAATACATTCAAGGACACACTGTTGTTCCCAAGACACAACATTTGTACATACATATATCCTGCACCTGGCACATTGGAATAATGTCAACTGTGTTTACTTCAATAATTACCCTCAAACAAACACATGTAGTGATTTTATCTGAATGTCAGCTCCCACATGGCACTTTTCTTGTCTAGCCAAGGCCTTGAGGAAGTAAATTAATGGATCAAATCCTGAGGAAACACTAATCTAGCCCCTGAATATTAAGGAGAACTGGAATTTCTAAGATTTCCCTAGAGGTATTACTATTTCTTTGCTTCAAAAAATATTCATAATAAAAAAGAAATTTAATCATACAAGGAAGCCTAGCCATTAGAAATGCAACATATTACATTTTCTATCAGTAGAAAGTTATTACTAAGGTGGAAATAAAATACTGACTTTATAATTTGTAAAGCAGACCAGAGATAAGGAAGCATGTGTTAGGTAATAGCCAGCTTTCCCCTTGCCAGAGGTGGTTCTCAGCTTTGGCTGCACCTTGTGTACCTTAGAGTCTTTACAAGGCAAAGATGGGTGGTCTCTCCCAGAGAGATACTGATTAGTTAACCCCTGGTGTTACTTGGACATCCTGGATGTTTACATACATCCAGGGATTTCTAATGTCTAGCTAAGATAGAGAAACATTGATCTAAAAGAAATGGTTGTGTGAACACTGTGAACTTACCTCCTCCAGAGTCATTAGCCAGTGTTCTCAGGGTCAGGAGAAAGCTGGTTACAAAGCACTCATGACCACGACCATGACCGATGAGTTTTAATATTTTGAAATTCTTATTTAGTTTCTCCTTGAGTTTGAGTGATATGCATTCTCTTGATTTCATTACAAATACAGTTCAACCTAGTAAACCATGAGTGAGTGCCTCTCTATGATTTCCCGACCATCGCATGCTCTAGTCCACTGAAGCAAGTGACAGTTTCCTTCAGGTCCATGTCTCTTTGTGACTCCATGCCCATGAACATTGTTCCCTGTGGATTAACGATAAAAATTTCTGAAGTAATCAAAAACACATAACAATTAATATAACTAATAACTAATATATATTAGTTAATGTTTAACAGCATTTATTTTTACTGTTACTGTAATGTGTACTTGCATTAACCAGGATAGATCATAAAACCTAAAAATAAAAGGGTGGGACAAGTTGGTACGGTAGGACCCAGGCTGAAAAGAAATTGCAGCAAACTCTGACTATACCACCTGGATCATGTATCTTCCCCTACCAGGAGAAGATGGTTCAGGATTCAGGTACTATTCCCTGGTACTAAATAACAAATATTCCTTCAATCCAAAGCTTATTACCCAAAATGAGCCAAATGGCCCATTTATCTGAAAGTGGGCTGAGAAGTACCTGAAAGCAGATTAAGTTCTTTATACAGTTGAACATTACACATTGATTAATTAGAGATGCCCTTACAAGAATAAGGGAGGGGTTCAGTCAATGTTTTATGGTCCATAATAAGAAAGATAGAGAATATTTGGTTTTAGTTAGGTCAATAAATGTTCAAACTCATTTGTAGCTCTCAATGAGCCACAATTCCAAACACTGAAAGAGACTATCCTTTGGAGAAATAATATTATAATAAAATTAGCATACACTTAGATGATTATAAAATTACCTGAGGTTAGACTATCACTGTAAGAAGTGTTATTCAGCTAGGAGCTTCACATACTCCACCCCCAAGCCCACTTCACCCAGTTCATACTTACTATCTGCTAAAATGGCACAGAGTGGCTGTGTCATTACAGACCCCTCAATATCATCGACTAACAACTCAAAGTATATGCTCCACTAAGAGTAATTTTTGCTTACTAGGACATGACATTTATGCCTACTGATATAATTATTTTATTGTCAATTTGTTTTCAGGACTTCAAAAAATCTATTCCAGCACTTTTCATAATTCATTCTTCACTTTGCTTACCTATTTGAGCTGTTTTTGACAGCAAAAAAAGTACTCTGAAAGTAAAAATAGTATTTCTCTTTCTGGAATATGTCCATAAAATAGAGATCTATGTTTAATGCATGCCTGCAGTTTTCTCATGAGGAAATGAAAATGAAGAAGGAAGTTTCTTAATGCACAAAAGCATCAACACATGAAAAAGAAAGACAAAGATTATTTTTCCCAAGTGCTAATGTAAATGTTCAATGCAGTCCATTTAGCCTACTTCTTATGACAAGGGTATAATTTTATTCTATTAATCTCTTGAGTATGTCTTTTCTTTCAAAAGTCCTAATACAAAAATATCCCTTTGAACTTAATTACAGCTGCCAGTAAGGTGGTATTTGCCAGTGTGCTCAGGTTATTGAGGGATTTAGTATAAGAAGATGTGTGTCCTGTACAGAGATTGAGATGAATGTACTGTTGATAACAGGGACAGAACTTAATTTGGCTTCATGAAGCTTATAGAAATATTTTCTAAAACCTAAGTAGAAGAATGTTACTCAGTCAAATAGCATGCTGTGTTTGGACTCCAAGGGGCAAGAGTTACCATCTTTAAAGAATTTAACCTTTGGTTTACTATAAAATCTACATCCAAGGGAGGTTCCAAGATGGACTAGAGGGAGAAAGTAGATAATGTGAGCTCCATAAAGGAAAAATCTTGCTGAGACATTGGAGACACACCTGGCAGAAAAAACCACCAAGAAGAGGCAAAATTCCAACACTCCCGAACCCCAGCCTGCACAAAGCTTCCCCATACACATTATATGGAGAAACCAGGAGGGCTCCCATGCACCAGATGCCACCTCTAACCTGCTTGGGAGACACAGACCAACAGGTGAGCAAATAAGTGGCACATGGTATCCCACAGCCACCCCTAGCATAAACCAGCATAGCCCCCTGGTCAGACTGACCTCAGCCCCACAAAGTAAAAAAGAAAAAGAAAAACTGAATAACAAACAAAGAATTGAAAAGACAGGTAGCAAAACAGGGCAGGGTGCCCTGAGCTCTGGAGAAGGAGGGCAGGCATCTGTACAAACTGTAAATAAACAAGCCTGCTGGGAAAGTGGGTTTGGCGACCCCCGCCAGTGAGCTTGGGGTGGGCAAGGTTTTGCACAGTGGCTGACATATGACACACTCCACCAGAGAGTGGGGGAAGGGAATTCCCCACACAAACTCTAAATAAACAAGGACTGCAGCTGTAGCAGGCTGTTAGGACTCCACACTGGAGAAAAGGGGAGGGGCAGGTGCTCAAGAGAACCCTAAATAAGCAAAGCCTGTTGGAGGAGGTGGGTGTGATGCCTTCCCCCCAGCAAACTGCAATAAATAAAGCCTGCAGCGGCAGCCGGCTGGCAGTAGGTGGCAGGTGAGCCAATAGAGGTTCACAAAGCTGTCTCCTGACCCAAACACTGGCAAGAAACCACAATGCTACTGATTAAATACTAACACCAGGACTGGATGCTGAAGGAACAACAGCAGAACTATAAGACTGAAACGGCATGGTCTCTGGACCTGAAATTTTTATTCTTTTACAGTTTTATATATCTTTTCTATTTTTTTCTTTCTCAAATTATTTTATTTTCTTTTTATTTTTTTTTTCTCTTTTCTCCTTTCTCCTTTGGTGAGACAACATCAGAGCTACTACTCAAACATCAACACCAGGACTGGATACTGAAGGACTAATACCAGAACTATTAAGACTGAACCTGGGATTTTTTTCTTTTTTTTTTCTTTATTTTCTTCTTTTTTCTTTTTGCTCTGTCTCTCTAATGCTTGTTTAGTTCACTGTCAATTAGTACACCATCTCTCCCTGTTTATTTCTTTGGCTTTTTTGTTTTGTTTTGTTTTTGTTGGTGGTGGCAGTGGTGTTTATTTTTCTTTTTCCTTTCCTTACTTGCTCTCTTTCTCCTTTTACCCTTCATTTAGATATCATTATTCTTACTATTACAAGCTAGATAATACTAAATACACACAGACAAGGACAGTAACGGCTCCAAGTGGAATGCTGGGAAGAAGGAAAAAGGATTAGTACAGCAACCAGAGGAAAATGAAGAAAACAGACACTCAGATCCAGACTCCAACAAAATGAAGATAAGCTATGCCAAAGAACCCAATGAAGCCCACAAGAAAACTCTGAAAGAAGAAATCCTGCAAGTAATCAATGAGAATTTTATAGAGATGATACTGGATATGGTCAACCAAAATGTACAGGAGATGCTCAAGAAATTCCTGGACAACAAAAATAGAGAATGTGAGGAAGCAAAAAACAATAACAGAAACTATTGAAGCACTGTATAAACACAACTGAAACAAAGAGAATACCATGAATAGAGAGATAAATTAACTCAGGGCGAAAATTGACAATATTAAATAGGAAGTGACATCGTGATATGGAAAACCTCAGAAAAAAGAATGAAACAGAAATGCAACTCCAGCAGACTAGAACAAGAAGAAGACAGAATCTCAGAACTCAAAGATGAAATGGTAATAAAAGGAAAAACTGAAGAACTCCTAGCTAGACACTCAAGACCTGTGAAAAAATATGCAAGAATTCAATGACTCCATCAAAAGACTAAACCTAGAATCATGGGCATTGATGAAGGAGAAGAGGTGCAAACAAAAGGAATTCATAATGTATTCAACAAAATAATAACAGAAAATTTACAAAATCTAGAGAAAACTATGCCCATTCAGGTACAGGAGCCTCCAGGACAACAGACTGTACCAAAATAGAACTACCCCACGACATATTGTCATTAAAACAACAAGCACAGAGAATAGAGAAAGAATATTGAAGGCTATAAGGGAGAAAAAAACAAATAACATACAAAGGTAAACCCATCAAAATCACAGCAGATTTCTCAACAGAAACATTAAAAGCAAGAAAAGCATGGGGTGAGATCTTCTGGGCACTGAATGAAAATGACTTCAACCTTAGGATATTCTACCCAGCAAAACTATCATTCAAAATAGATGAGACAATAAAAGTCTGCCATGATAAGCAGAAACTACAATATATGACCACAAAGCCACCACTACAAAAGGTTCTTTAAGGGATTCTGCACACAGAAAGTGAAAGCCAACATAATCATTAAAAGGCAGGCAGTACCAAACCAAAGGAGAAGAAAAGCAAGAATCAGAGAGTAACATTATTACAGCTGCACAATCAAACCTTCAAACAACAAGACAAACTAAATGACAGGAATCACCACATACCATCAATACTAACACTCAATGTTAATGGACTTAATTCCCCCATCAAAAGACACCATTTGACAAACTGGATTAAAAAGGAAGATTCAACAATTTGTTGCTTACAGGAGAACCATCTGTCAATAGAAATAAGCATAGGCTTAGGGTGAAAGGCTAGAAGATTTACCAAGCCAATGGCCCAAAACAGCAGAGTAGTATACTTATCTCAGACAAATAGACTTCAAACCTACATTGATCAAATGAGATAAAGAAGGACATTCCATACTAAAAAGAGAAATACACCAAAGGAAATAAAATTATCAACCTATATGCACCCAATCAACACACCCAATTTCATCAAACATACCTGAAGGACCTAAAAAGCATATATAAACTCCAACACAGTGGTAGTGGGAGACTTAACCCCATCATCAATAGATAGGTCATCCAAACAAAAAAGCAATAAAGAAATCCTAGCTCTAAATCATACCATAGAGCAAATGGACCTAGCCAATGTCTACAGAACATTTCATCCAACTTCTGTACAATATACATTCTTCTCAGCAGATCATGGAACCTTCTCTAAAATTGATCATATCCTACAGCACAAAGCAAGCCTCAGCAAATACAAGAAAACAGAAATAATACCATGCATTCTATCTGATCACAATGCATTAAAACTAGAACTCAACAAAAAATAATAGCAAAAAACATGCAAACAGCTGGAAACTGAACAATACATTGCTCAATGATCAAAGGGTCATCAATGAAATAAAACAGGAAATTAAAAGGTTCCTGGAAGTTAATGAAAATGAAAACAAAACCTACCAGAC